CGGACGCTCTGCAGCCCAAGGGCAAGGCCTCGGAGCTCCATGCCAAATCAAAGGGGGCAGCGGAGGTGCAGCGCAGCAAGGGAACAACAGAGCCCCTAGTCTGTCAACAGAATGGCAAAGTGACTGGCTCCCCCCACGTGGCTGTGCAAAACAATGAGAAGTTTGCACTCGCTTCATTGCAGACCAATGAAAAACTTGAATCGACCGCGCGCAAAGCAAGTGGCACGTCGGAGAACGGATCGCAGAAGAGCGGCAGCGGCAACACGGCGGGCGTTGCGCAGGGACTGAATGGCAAGATGGAAAACGCACCCCTGCAGACTTATAACAAGATAGAGCAGCACGCTCCCTGCAAGGCGAGCGGCCAAGAAGGGCCGCGCGGGCCGCACTGCGAGCCCCAGACGCACGGGGCGGACGAGCAGCACTCGCCGGAGATGAATGGCAAAGCAGAGTCCCCTCAGCCCAAGAACAAGAGCAAGAAGAACAAGAAAAAGAAGTCTGAGAGGCTCAACCCTTCCATCGGTGAGCAGCGCCACATGGAATCTGCTTTCAAGCGTTTTTCACAGGCGCTCTGCTTCCACGTCTATACAATTGATGTTTCATTTAATGATGAAGGTGCTCAATTTAATGATTTGTGAATTGATGTTTTGGCCAGGCCACGTTAATTATTTCACCGCATTTGTGCTGGTAATATCCTCTTTAGATGTAAGGTTGTCTTCAATCACAGATATAAACAATAATTGTAACTGCCTTATCAGCGTAATGAGGCAGTGTCTGTGTCGTGGCACGGGGACGCACGTCTTTGGCGATGTCTATGAACGGGTTCATCTCATTCGACAAGTTGACACTAGCACCCTCGTGTACCTCCGTAGGACCTCAAGCGTAGATCCCCTCTGTGTAATTGCTGCATCTCGCACTGCTTGGTGTGTGGCATGACATGCATGTCAAGGTGATTCGTTGCGTGTAACAAGTGAGATCCTGTTCCTTCATTACTGCTCGACTCGGAAATTTCCTCCGCCAAAATACCTTATCCCAAGTTCTTATAAGCTTGCTAAATTCAACAAGTGCGTTAACTTTTCTTTTTCACACCTTCCATGGTGGTGTTCGTTGCGGGTCACTTGGCATTTTGGGCCTGTGCTCCACAAGTATGGGTTAAAAAGACGAACGTTAAATTGGTTGAACGTTCAGATGTCGTCGCGATTATGTGGATGTGTGCGTGGTTTCCCATGCCACGATGCCCCACGCGACGCTGCGCGCCACCCATGAAGTGCGTGGCGCCCGTGGGGGAGGGGGCTCCCCCGGAGCAGGGGGCGCTGATTGGGGTGGCCGTGTGGCAGCCTCTTGGTGCAGTCGCCGATGTGGAAGTGGCCGCGTTCCCCGGCGAGAGCTCCCACCTGCTTCCCGTCAAGTCGCCGCCACCGCGGAGGGCGAGGGGGTTTTGACCCTGGCGCAGGAATAACCCTGGCTGGTGGCATTGGCACTTGGCAGTTTTGTGCGACCGTTCATGGGGGGGGGGGGGGGGAGGACCCCCTGCAGCTTACGTGGTCCTCTTGGGGGATCCGTGGACCTCAGGGTGAGGTCCCCTGTTTTAGATTATGATTCTTATTTGTAGCCCCATCCCTCAACTTCACTTGCGTTAGAATCGGAATCCTTATATTGGAGGAATCCGATGTACGGTAGGAGCGGGTCAGCAGGTTACAACAATAAAGTTAACGTGTGAATCTTTTTTAGAAATTACCCTGTTAACTGTGTTTATATTTTTCAGATGATGTGTTTCTTCCAAAAGACATTGATTTGAATAATGGAGATCTGGACGAAACCGAGCGCGAGGTGGAGCGATTTAAAAGGTAACGTTCTAAGTAAAGATGGAATCATTGATTATGCTCAGACTGGAGTCCATTTACATGTGTTCTTGTGAGTTAATAAATGGCTGTCACAACGGGAAAGTCATGTAACAGTGCATTGATTAAAATCGGTACTTATGCAAGATGTTAAGTTATAGGCAAATGTTACCGTTGGGTCAATGGGACGTGGTGGACAGTTAAATGTCGATTGACTAATGCTGTATCTCACCGCGTGACACTTAGTGCCGTGTTTCCAAATCAGCTTTCTGGATCTCGTCCATGAATATGGGATATGGACCATCTAACTTTGCACTTCCTCAAGTAGAAATTTGAAGGGAGTGTATCTGCAGTTGACTCTCAAAGCAATTGAATGGCTAACTGACTTCACACTAAATATCTAAGTTGCTCTTCATTGGACATAAATATCATTACTTACTGTTTGCTTGTTTTCGTATGGAGGCAGAGCTGACGCGTTTTTTTAATATAAAACTCTGCTGCAGGTTCTGCATGGATTCTGCTCGACAAAACCGCCAGAAGCTCACTGTCAACTGGTCGAACTTCAACTTGAAGAAGTCTGGGTTTGCTGCTCACTGAACAGGGAGGGGTGGACGAGCAGGAGAGATGGTGGTGGCGCAGGCTTGGGCAGGGCCGCCCCACCCAGCCCAGCCGCCCACTGGCTGTGGACCAGCCAGCACTCCCTGCGCGCGTGGGTCATTAAATGTCTCCGGGGTTGCGGTGCGTTGCAGATCTGCGTTATGATTTGACTTGAGCTCTGCCAGCTGCTGTAAAAAAAAAACATACTGTAAGTTGTGCTGTTCTTGAAACTGCTTTAACTCTATGCACAGCTGGCCTCTATGCAGTGCAGGGTAGGAGGTGTTTTAGGTCAGTGCTTTTTCAGGGAGCCAGAGGGAGGAGGGTGTTGCCTTCTGGGAGGGTGTGTCCTACATCATTCGCTGGAAGCTGTAACGTTGCTAGGATGCAGACAATAAACGCCTTGCTCGTTACTCCGTATTTGATAGCTTATTGCTTGAGCACCTTCTTTCTTTGAAACGATGCCTGAAAGTGTGAATCGTACTAACTCAATGTTTCTATTCGCTGCTTTGTTAGGGCTGCTTTTACTTGAGTGAAGTTGAAGGGTCCTCATGGGGGCGCTCTCCTAGCCTGCCTGTGGCCTTGGACGTGTGTGTAAGCCGTGTGTAAATCATTTGAGCTGTCGTAGTGTTATAACATTTAGTAGGTTGCAGCATACAAAATACTAAACCTTAAAAAGATCCATATAGTATGTTATTGGATACTTTTTTTAAAGATATTGTACAAATTATTGTAATGTCTTTCGTTTTTGAAAGGAAATACAGTATAGTTATAATGAGTGACGCGTTTTGTTTTTGTCATCTGGAGTGATTCCTTAATTGGTAACTCGTAATCGTCACAAACGAAGTCGAGATATCCCCCCACCCACCATTCGACGTGCGGGCAGCGGCGCGTTGAGGGGCGAGTTGGTTCACGAGACGTCTGGAGGATGGTGATGCGCTCTGCACCGGGTGGAGATGCCTCCGTGGACGGTGGCCATCCATCCAGCCAAAGCATGACTCCACATACAGGGCGGCAATCCGACTCGGGGCCGCGATGGGGCCCGGCGATAGCGCCTGGCGATAGCACGTTCACTGCTCATCGCAGAGGCTCACAGTTTGAATCCAGCAGCCGTATTTACCGTGACCAACCAAATATAATCTCTTGATGCTCCAGTCCCATACAACCAGGTCTCAGCTCAAGAACTTAAACAAGTGTGCGTGGTTCAGAACAGGATGTGTCGATCACAAGCCCAAGTCGCATCTCGCACCAGCTCAATATTGTTTCGAAATGGACATCTTCAAACGAGATTGCTAGAAAGTTCAGGATAGCTTGGATGCGATTCCACATTCGTCACGATTTGCTGTCGCTGCTCATGGTGAGCTTGCATCCGTTTCTCTCGGCTTTACATTCATTTCCACTCTTGCTCCTCAATTTTCAAATTTAAATAAATCGGCCCATGGGCTGAGGGCACGTGAAAATTCAACAATTCTGTTCTGCCACACTTGAAATTTTATAAGATGAAAACTTGACCTCCCCACATTCCCTTATCTGCAAATGGGGCTTCTGCAAACCATTGGTCGGGATTTATTGAATAAGCCTTGATGCATCTTTATTTGGGCACAATGACGCTGACAGTCCCAGCCTGAGATCCCAGTTATAAAAGGGTGGGAAAATGCCAATAAAAATATGAAAATTTAAGGAAAACGGCATCAAAAGTCAAATACTATATTAGCAATAAAATATCCCGATTTCATACTCGACTGTTTTCTAAAGCCATGCTAAATTTGGTTTGTCAGACTCCAGGATGAGATCATTAATGCATCGCGTGTATTAATAGCCGGAGTACGATATTTGTCACTCATAGCCAGGTTACACTAGAGGTCGGGGCCTGGTGCAGGGGAAGGTCACGTTAACGTCATCTCAGTGAAACTCGACACGGCGCGTACAGACGGACATTGGTGTGAGCACCTGGGGACTGTCCTCGTCTGGTTTGTGCGTCCGTCAGTAATTCTAATTCCGAGCCCTTTAGTGCTACTGCTAGATGATATCCTCCCCGCACGGCGTCAGTCACGAGCGTAGCCTGACTATACTTCACCACGCTGGTCCACGCGGGCTGGTGAAGGGGAAACTGGGACTGGTTCGGACATCGCTCGTCACCGACGAAGGCCCGTGGCTGGGAATCGAACTTGGGCTCGCAGAGCACCCATCCCCCGCTCTGCCCCGCGTGTCCTGCCATCGGCAATGTAACTCTGGAGTGAACGTGTTGATGGTGGTGTGGTACCAAACCTGGATCAGGGCTATTACGCACATCCCTTTGGACATGTCACTCGTCTGTCCCAGCCTGCAGAATGAACATGGCTTGACTCTTTATTATTTAAACGTACATTCCATCCATGCACAGTGCAGTGTGAACTGCTGTTGCATGGTCGCACATCGCAAGGAATCCTGTGGACTCTGTTGCCGACGCTCGAATTGGTTTTCCAAGCAGTCCCTACTCAAAGACATCGCCGAATATTTATTTGGTCTTGGAGGCAGTGATCACACACATGCATTGTCAAACTATACTGAGATAACACAGGCCTAGACTTTTCCGTGTAATGCTTTTATTGAATAAAAACACCAACTCCCGTCACGACATGTCCACCGTCGCTAGTCGTCCTCATCTTCTGATCCATGAATCTGCAACAGACACCATTTGGAAATAATTTTAAACAGATTCCCGTTGCGTCCGTTTGGGTCGCTAAAACAACCAGCAGCATCGCAATCACCATCAGCGAGCATCGCATTTGTGTAAATCCTGAGAAACACACAGGCTCTGGCCTTGGTGCACTGCCGTCAACAGATATCCCACTACGAGCTGGGTCTCAGTGGGTACAAGCACTGCTGAGGTCAGCAAAGGTCACGACCCAATGGGAAGAACGATCCCCGCGTGGTCCTCCTGCTCACTCGCTGAAACAAAAGCGTTGAGGAATATTGCTGATGTGCAATGTCCAGCGATGGATCTGAATGTCAAGAGCACTGTAAAATCCCTCCAGTGGTGCGGCCACCGAGTGGTCCTCGCGGGGAGAAAGACCACGCTTGGCCGTGACACGCGGCCCCATCCACTCCTCTCGGGGGGGAAATGTGGACGTGTAAGAACACACGGGCCGGTGTGCGTGCCCCTTGTTGCAAAGGGTTCCTTTGAAACGTACCCAATTTCAAAAGTTGCTCTCAATGTGTCATTTCAAAGTTGCTTCGGCTCAAGTCTCACGAGAGCACCCACGCGTGGTGGTGGTGGTAGTGGTGGTGGTGTGGGTCGCAGGGCGAGCGAAGCGCGGTTACCGCATCGGCCAGCGCAGGCCAGGCCAGGGCCATAGGCAGCGCGTCGTCTCCCGAGGGAGCCGTCTCCAGGTTCCAGTGCGAGATGGCCGAGAAGGCCGAGAAGGCTTGCAGCGCCGTGGCCCTGCGATCCTGCGAGACAAGAAGCGCCATCGTTGGCACGAACCCCCCCCCCCCCCGCAAGGTGGCACCACGGCACCAAATCTTGGTGCAGCCAAGCCAATCCCCCTTGGAACACGAACCGTGTAATTATTCTACTTCACAAGAGCTGTTTTTGGGTTGTATCGCGAAAATGTGTCGTTAAACCCGCCATGGCCAATTAATAAGGTCTGTCACGTCAACAGAACATGCCAAGTCGTCACTCGTACAGCACACCGCTTGTGTGTTGGAGGGCAAATCCACAACATTTACGCGATCTAACCGAAAAACCCTGCCTGTATTGTGGATATTGGCCGCGAAAGCCGACGCGTTCAACTGTCACCGCATCCTGCCTGCTCCAACAACAACAACAACAAAGCATCTGCCTCGTACAGTTTCACTGTGCGGAGCCGAGATTCCTATCGACTGCAACCACGAGACGATAGCCACGGGAGTGGTGGTGGCGGTGGTGGTGGTGGTGGCGGTGGTGGTGGCGGTGTGGTGGTGGTGGCGGTGGTGGTGGTGGTGGCTGTGGTGGTGGTGGTGGCTGTGGTGGTGGTGGCGGTGTGGTGGTGGCGGTGTGGTGGTGGTGGCGGTGTGGTGGTGGTGGTGACCTCGTGGCGCAATGAGGTCCCCGCCGACTCCTCGCGCACCACCACGCCCGAGTAGCCCGGGGGCAGCGGCACGGCGCGGCCCTTCAGCTCCCGACCGCGGAACGACGTCGCGAGTTCTGCCGAGTAGAGCGGTGGCACAGCGACAGCAGCAGCAGCAGCAGCGACGTCTACACCGCACGTCCACGCCAGATGTGTACCCCCCCCCGTCTCCCCCCCCGCGTCTCCCCCCCCGTCCCCCCCCCGCGTCTCCCCCCCCCCGCGTCTCCCCCCCCCGCGTCTCCCCCCCCCGCCCCCCCCCGCGTCTCCCCGCGTCTCCCCCCCCCCGCGTCTCCCCCCCCCCGCGTCTCCCCCCCCCCCGTCTCCCCCCCCCCGCCCCCCCCCGCGTCTCCCCCCCCCGCCCCCCCCCGCGTCTCCCCCCCCCGCCCCCCCCGCGTCTCCCCCCCGCGTCTCCCCCCCGCGTCTCCCCCCCCCCGCGTCTCCCCCCCCGCGTCTCCCCCCCCCCGCGTCTCCCCCCCCCCGCGTCTCCCCCCCCCCGCGTCTCCCCCCCCCCGCGTCTCCCCCCCCCCGCGTCTCCCCCCCCCCGCGTCTCCCCCCCCCCGCGTCTCCCCCCCCCCGCGTCTCCCCCCCCGTGTCTCCCCCCCCCCGCCCCCCCCCGTCTCCCCCCCCCGCCCCCCCCCCGCGTCCCCCCCCCCGCGTCTCCCCCCCCCGCCCCCCCCCCGCGTCTCCCCCCCCCGCCCCCCCCCCGCGTCTCCCCCCCCCCGTCTCCCCCCCCCCGTCTCCCCCCCCGCGTCTCCCCCCCCGCGTCTCCCCCCCCCGCGTCTCCCCCCGCGTCTCCCCCCCCCGCCCCCCCCCCGCGTCTCCCCCCCCCCGTCTCCCCCCCCCCCGTCTCCCCCCCCCGCGTCTCCCCCCCCCCGCGTCTCCCCCCGCGTCTCCCCCCGCGTCTCCCCCCCCCCGCGTCTCCCCCCCCCCCGCGTCTCCCCCCGCGTCTCCCCCCCCCCGCGTCTCCCCCCGCACGTGGAGGTGGCCGGGCCTCTCACCGCCGCCGTCTCCCGTGCGCACGGCCGGGCTGAAGAAGGCGGCGACGCGCGCGGGCCCCGTGCGGTGCACGCGGCACGGCAGGCGGTGCACGCGGCCCGGCGCGGGGTCGCTCTGCGCCTCGCGCCGCGCCTGCGCCAGCGAGGCGCGGCCCAGCGCCACGGACATGGCCCCGACTCCCGCAGCGCTCGAGGGGCCTCGCTGCGCGTCACGTGCCCGCGCGTCACGTGCTCGCGCTCCTCGGCTCGCTATTGGCCAACGACGCCAAGCCAGGGGCGGAGCGGGAGTTCGTAGCCAATCACAGACGAGCTCTCCCGCATTGTTCTCGGGAGCGTCGGTGCCAGCTCAGAGGGTTTCACTTCATCATTACGCGGCGTGGACAACAGCTTTTTTTACAACTTGCTACGGCGTGATATTTGTTGACATCTTAGATGTATATATGTATGTTCAGAAGCGACACTCGTTGAAGATGTATCAATCAAAATATCAATGGCGTTCACGCCACGCGGAGCTCACGCGGCAGCCCCTCCCCACTCGGTGCCAACCGCCAATCAACGTTGGCAGCGCGCGCGTGCGTCACGTGACTCGACCGACCTCCTCCCCGCACCCACGAGCCGGGCAACGTCATCGGCGTAGCCGACATGACGTCATGTGTGACGTCATGTCCCGTTACCAGGCCCCGCACGTGACGTCACCCGCAGGCCGCCAAGTCTCGCCTCTCCCGGAGTCTCTCCGCGCTCACGGTGAGGATGGCGCCGGAGGAGACGGGGACGCGATCCGCGCCGCTTTGCGCTCTCGCCGGGGAACTGGGCGCGAGTCGGGGCCGCGGGCGGGGGGCCCGGAGTGAGGAGCGCGGAGTGGCGCGAACCCCTGCGACCTGGGCCTTGGAGCCCGAGGTCCTGGGCCGCGCATCCTCGGCCTCGCCTTGACCGCGCTGCCGCGGAATGCGCGGGGCGCTCGGCCGAGAGATCGAGACTAGCGGGGGGGGGCGCGCGGCCGGCTCCATAGAACTCGTAGAGAGTGACATTCACGCCGAGTCTGGCTCCTCTCTGCCTCGCCGCCTCTGTGCCGACTTCCGCGCCTTCCGCGCAGCGCTGGGGTTCGTCTGCCCCGCGTCCCGCTGATCGTGCGGCCCCGTGGCGCTGTCGACGCGTTGTGCGTACGGCGTGAAGGCCTCGGTCTCTTACTGTACGGCACTCGCCTTCGCCGACTCTAAAGACCCCCGTGTAGCCTTCACAAACTGTAGGGGCAAGTGCTGTTAGCGAGTAGCAGCACCTACGAAGGCCGGCACGGCACGCGAGGGGGTGGGTGGCCAACACCACGCCCGGCCGCCTTTGACTTCCGAATGGCGATGTTTACACATTGTACCAGGTACTCGTTTGAGGCTGAGTCGGCCTAGGGGAGGCCCAGGACTGGTTCAGTTAACCGTCCTAATGCCGGGTTCGTAGCGCAGCGCGCTAACGAACGTTGGGCTACGTAGGGTGCGAAAGAAGCTCAACATACACAGCCACGACACTGCCTATCACCCGCTTACCAACTCACCCATCCACACAATCCACCTGTCAGCCTCTCAACCTCCTCACCTTTCACCATCCTCACAACCTCTTCACCATCCTCCCAACCTCTTCACCATCCTCCCAACCTCTTCACCATCCTCCAACCTCTTCACCATCCTCCCAACCTCTTCACCATCCTCCAACCTCTTCACCATCCTCCCAACCTCTTCACCATCCTCCCAACCTCTTCACCATCCTCCAACCTCTTCACCATCCTCCCAACCTCTTCACCATCCTCCCAACCTCTTCACCATCCTCCCAACCTCTTCACCATCCTCACAACCTCTTCACCATCCTCCAACCTCTTCACCATCCTCCCAACCTCTTCACCATCCTCCAACCTCTTCACCATCCTCCAACCTCTTCACCATCCTCCCAACCTCTTCACCATCCTCCAACCTCTTCACCATCCTCCAACCTCTTCACCATCCTCCCAACCTCTTCACCATCCTCCAACCTCTTCACCATCCTCCCAACCTCTTCACCATCCTCCCCAACCTCTTCACCATCCTCCCAACCTCTTCACCATCCTCCCAACCTCTTCACCATCCTCCCAACCTCTTCACCATCCTCCCAACCTCTTCACCATCCTCCCAACCTCTTCACCATCCTCCCAACCTCTTCACCATCCTCCCAACCTCTTCACCATCCTCCCAACCTCTTCACCATCCTCCCAACCTCTTCACCATCCTCCCAACCTCTTCACCATCCTCCAACCTCTTCACCATCCTCCCAACCTCTTCACCATCCTCCCAACCTCTTCACCATCCTCCCAACCTCTTCACCATCCTCCAACCTCTTCACCATCCTCCCAACCTCTTCACCATCCTCCAACCTCTTCACCATCCTCCCAACCTCTTCACCATCCTCCCAACCTCTTCACCATCCTCCAACCTCTTCACCATCCTCCCAACCTCTTCACCATCCTCCAACCTCTTCACCATCCTCCCAACCTCTTCACCATCCTCCAACCTCTTCACCATCCTCCCAACCTCTTCACCATCCTCCCAACCTTTTCACCATCCTCCAACCGCTTCACCATCCTCCCAACCTCTTCACCATCCTCCAACCTCTTCACCATCCTCCCAACCTCTTCACCATCCTCCCAACCTCTTCACCATCCTACAACCTCTTCACCATCCTCACATCCTCTTCACCATCCTCACAACCTCTTCACCATCCTCACAACCTCTTCACCATCCTCCAACCTCTTCACCATCCTCCCAACCTCTTCACCATCCTCCAACCTCTTCACCATCCTCCCAACCTCTTCACCATCCTCCCAACCTCTTCACCATCCTCCAACCTCTTCACCATCCTCACAACCTCTTCACCATCCTCACAACCTCTTCACCATCCTCTCAACCTCTTCACCATCCTCCAACCTCTTCACCATCCTCCCAACCTCTTCACCATCCTCCCAACCTCTTCACCATCCTCCCAACCTCTTCACCATCCTCCAACCTCTTCACCATCCTCACAACCTCTTCACCATCCTCACAACCTCTTCACCATCCTCACAACCTCTTCACCATCCTCCCAACCTCTTCACCGCAGAATCTATTTGCCGTCTCCCCCCACGTGTTGCTCGCCGTCTCTGTGTGGCGCTCATGCAGCGCCGGTCTCAAGGGAAGCGTTCGAGGAGTATGCAATGTTTTATTACAACTTGTGTTACAACTTGCATTATAACTTGTGTGTGTTATTTAGGTTTGTGTCTCTTCTATTTTGATGACGTGTGCCTTAATTTGGTGTTTTGAGCGTTGGGTTACAAATAAAAGTGACAAAACCGTGGTGTTTTTGTGGGACAAATGGACAACTGAGGAATGATGAATTGGTTATGGATGCTGGCTCGTGTGTTTATTCAGGATGCTCATTTTGTAGGTAATGCAATTTCATTTTCTATATATGTTGGCATTCTCGATTATTTATAACTGGCCAAGCTTTTAACAAAGTTAGTCAAGTCTTTAAACATCTTTCATTCACGTTTTGAATTGTATTTATGTACTCTAACGCTATAAGTTAATGTTTTAATAGGTTTTAAACCTTTTAATGTATGTAATTAGGCGTTTGGGATATCTCATTCAATTGAATATTAATTATTGTTGTTACATCATATTGAAAGGCTAATTTAGTAATTATAAGGTAATAAACCTGCGTGTGGGACATTTAATAGAATCAGGAGTTGCGTGTTGGTAATTTAACATCTTTATCGTTATCGTGCGGTTGCAGTGGTGTTGCCGTCTGTATTGCATGCACGAGGTCACGCTAACACACACGGTTTGCCCCGTATTATTGTACAGGGAAATTTAGTTTTCAGGTCCATACGGCATACAGCCGTTTCAATACGGGCATTTTTTTGGTCTATTTGTGTTTCTCCCTTGTGATGGGACTTTGTAGGATGACCGTTGAGATTTCTAAGGGCACGGGGTGACCAATAATGTCTGAATTGGTCTGTGATAAGGTAGGCAACTGATAAGGGGTGGACAGGTATGAATAAGCAGCCTTGAGCAACCCTTTTGTGTGTGCTGTAGAGTTTTCACTATGAAGCGAGCTGAGAGAAACCGCCATAAGGATGAGCAGCGTGCTCTGTGTGCAGATGGCCGAGGACCTGCCGACTCAGTTGAGCAACTACAAGGTGCAGCTTCAGCAGGTGGAGGCAGCACTCACTGCCGACCCCAACAATCAGGACCTGCTCAAGCTCAAGAAGGATCTGCAGGTAACATTGCACGCTGCCTTCTACAGTGGAGGTCACGGGAGGAAAAACCCTGCGCTCGTGACAATAAACACTGTCATGGAGCATAGCGACAAGACGTCTCTACACAAGCTTCCAGCACCCTCGTTTGATTTGTGCTGCTTTTTATCAGTGGAATGATTACGACAGCCCACACCACAATTTCACTGCAAATCCCCATTGGAAGTCTAAATCCATCTTCGTATGGAATGAACTCGCTACATTCTCCATTTTTTAGCACTAAAGACAACTAAAACCCGCCACTCTAAGGTGGATTTTTTAAAATTTCACTTTGGCGTTTACATGGGGGACCTTTGTTTCCCCTCCGAGAAGCCCTCCCTAGAGGTTCACGGATGTTACGGCGGCCTTTTGAAAGTTTCTCTCTCAACACTTCCCCTTTGTGACGTGCACTTTTGAAGCATCGCTTGACAGAGTTTACACTTGCAATTGTGCCGAACGTCTCGGACTTGCGGCGAGGCACAGCTTGTGTTGCGTGATTCTTGGTGCGGGACCTCAAGGCCCCTGCCGTGTTCCCCCGCGCCGCAGGAGGTGATCGACCTCACGCAGGACCTGCTGACGACACAGACGAGTGAGAGCTCCGCCAGCGCTGCCGAGCGCGAGCCGGGCCGCAGCCAGGCGCCATCCTGGGCCGTGGGAGACCACTGCCTTGCCACGTGGAACGAGGACGGACAGTACGTGCACGCGCCACCGTGCCACTCACCCCCGTGCTATTCACCTCCGTGCCACATATCTTTGTAACATTCGCTGCCATGATGCTGGATGTGAGTTGTGGTGAAAGTGAGCATGAGATCACCGGTCGAGACATTGATCTGAACGACGCTGCCCGTCGCGTGCGCTGCGTCAAGGTGGTACGAGGCGGAGATCGAGGAGGTGAATGTGGATGGCGGCACGGTGGCCGTGACGTTTGCGGGCTACGGCAACACGGAGGTGGTGCCCATGCACTCGCTGAAACCGGTGGAGCAGGAGCGCCAGCTGAGCCACGAGCTCGACACGGGAAATAAGCCCAAGTCAAAGTAAGGGCTCTGCCACCCTCTCACCGTTATTACCCTGGTGGCTTGGCACCCGATGCCAGTCTTGGATCAAAGGCAGCGAACCTCCGAGTTGACGAAAAGGTTGATAACTCCGGAAGATGCGTCTGTGAGGCCGTGACCCGTGGTTGTCAAGTGACCTTGTGTTGAACGACTGCATTTGCTTCTTTGTCTTTACTGTCATCAGTTCTTAGTGGTTTAGAATATTGTTGGATATTTTACAGACTTTTATCATATTTTTGCTTTGTCTTATGATCCTTAGGAAGTAATTCCAAATATAAATTTTAAACTCATCGGCTAAGTTATGTTGTAAATAACTTATAGATGTATGCACGTGTTGTTAGACATTAGAATATGGCTTGTTGGAAAGACTGAAAATGTTGCCAAAACGATATAGTCAAACATGGCGTACCTTTGTGTTGTACATTGCCCACTTAGTGACTCATTCATGGCTCCGTTATCATTTCGGTCGCATCAGGGAGGTTCTGTAGGAATGATAGGATCAAACAAACTTTCCAACTGAGAGAGCTTGGCTTACTAACGTCCGTGTGCATCTCTTGATATTTACTCTCACTTGGCTTTGGTAATTTAAAGTGACGCTTTTCCTTCTCGCTACCAAAAACATGCTCACCACGTGCTGCTTGCTGAATGTGCTGCTGCAAGAGCGGACTGGTTGGGTGCTGAGTGCTGTGCTGGCTCTGTGTGCTGTGTCCGCTGCAGAAAGGAGCTGCTGGCTCAACAGAGAGAGTACAAGAAGAAGAAAGCCCTCAAAAAAGCGCAAAGGATGAAGGACATGGAGACAGAGAGGGAATCGCAGAAGAGCAAATGGCAAGACTTCAACAACAAAGCCTACTGCAAAACAAAGAAAGGCCACGTGAGTGCTGTTATCACAAGCACTCTTTAACTGGAATCATAATTCACATTTTCTTCATTCATTAGTTGACAGTTATTTACCTGCTAGATTTGAAGGGGTTATTTTGATCGTGATCGCGTTTGTACTGTTATCTGCATGTAGCAGTGCAGTGGGGAAACATCTTAATTTACAGAAGTGGCCACGGTGGAAAGAGGCGCACGCCTTACCCCACATTGCCACAATTAAGAGTGAACGAAAACGCCCTTTCATTTAGACGTCACTACGTGCTCGCGTGCTACTCGCTGCCAGACTCTTCCCTTTGTCAACTTTACCATTCACCTTCTCGGCCAAATGTATTTTTGTATGAACAGGGAAGCGATGAGGGAAATTCATTCGTTTTTGTTTCAGGATTTGGCACACATCGCCTGAGTTTTGTTTCGTTTTCTATTTCAAATAAAATAAAATTATATATTAATATAAAACAGGAAAGATAAAATAGAGCACACTTGATACCCGATTGTGAGAACAAAAGTTGAATGGGCAGTCTTGAGTAGTGAATGAGATCATTCATCATTGATTTTTGGATGAGGCCACTTAATATACCAACCGACATCCAAACAAATTCAATTGTTGCGCACAGATGTTTAACGTGCCAGTTATTATTGTTTCAGCTCACCGGTATGATGAACAATTCTCACAATTTAATTTAGCAGATAAGACGTTTCACTTGCAACTGCATGAAGCATCCTCAGGCCCTGAAACCCAGCCAGATCATGCAATGGCTGAACCCAGCCATCGGTTATGAATAGTGATTGACACGCTTGTGCTCCATGTGCTCGGCCCCGTGCTGCCCTTGCGGTGGTTGCAGGTGAAGAAGAGCATATTCGCTTCCCCGGAGAGCGTGAACGGCCGTGTGGGTGTGGGCACCTGTGGAATCGCCGACAAGCCCATGACGCAGTTCCAGGACGCGGCCAAGTACAACGTGCGGCATTACATGCCCCAGTGAGCCGCCGCCGCCGAGCTCCCTGCTGTCATAGCGGTAGCGGCAGCAGCGGCGGCAGCGGCGGTGGCAGCAGTGGCGGCAGCGCCCCCCCCCCCCATGGCTTGTGCTCGCTCTTTCGGGCAGAGCGCTCCACAAAGAACTGTCCAGCAGGGTGGGGCACTGTTTTTTTTTATAAACATCTACGTTATTGTATGTAACTGTAAAAAGCCCGGGGGATGTGTTGAGTGTTGGATGCGGTGGCCTACTATAATCGTTATTGATGTAATTTTTTTCAGTGTTGTGGAATCCCAAACTGAAGCTCTAACACCTTCGGTACCAATTTCTAACGAAGGTGGCAGCTATTTGTTACACTGCTTGTTCGTGTAATGTCACAACCGGTTCTGATAACATTGATGCGTGGCTCTGGGGCGATCACTCCGCATTTAAGCCACTTGCTGTGTGAAACGTACAAGCAGCAGAATTTCTGTAATATATCCATTTTATACATTGTTCACTCTTAAACAGTACAACCTCAAATTGTCATGCTTATTATAGGCATTATTTTCTTTATTGTAGAAACATTATTTTTTGTTAGTATTAATAGATCCTAAGCGTTTTTTTTTGACAGTGTTCTTTGCAAAACATTGTCGCATGGTTGTTAAAACACCGGTAACGGAGGAAGCACGGTGTTCATCATGTCTGCTGCACAAGGAGCCACCTGCCTCCAGTCCAATTGACAAACTCGAGAATTAATTTTTATGCCTCAGCCTCGAAGGAACATCATGTGGTGGAAGACAGCTGTCATGGTTGGGGTAATAAACATTGCCAGGATGTCCGTCGTGAAGTCTACTTATGAATTGTTGATTTTTGGCTGCCTTCGAACTGGATAGGTGGCACGGTGTCAGCGCTACCATGCAGCGCACGGCTGGATTTACAGCTCTTTCATGTGTGCAGTTTTTACAATCTCCAAAGTCAAAGGCGCATGCGTGCTGCCTCCAGACATTGACTGTTTGTTAAATACTTATATTTAATTCATACATTGTGAGAATTGTCATGAAGCCACCCGTTACCGTTGATTAAAAAAAGTGGTCCATGTTCTTACGTGGATTGATCCTATCAACGTGTGTCACTGGTGTCTCTGATGTTCTCTGAATTCGCAGTCATCTTGATGTCATCATACCGATAGGAACTAAATGGAGGTTGGGAAACGAGGATTGTGTCTGTGGCAGCCTTGCCGTCGGACTCATTTTACCGAGCAAGTGCGTGTCCTGGACGTGGGTGTTGTGCGTCTGGAAACGGTGCAGCACACAGCTCACTCTGGGCTGTCTGCACTTGGCTTTTGAGACCTGAGCTCACTGATGTGTTCTTCTGTTTACACAAAGCCCTGGTCCCACACTTGTAATGCGTCAGGATTATCAAGGTACTAAAGTGAGCAAATGTTTTACTCAACTTGTGATAATCATTGCCACTGTAACCAGCTTAGTGCCATTGTGGTCTCCTTGCAAGGGGGCTGTTTAAACTCGTACTTTCTTAATGCTTATTCTATAAATGTATATGCGTGTAACTTCAGGGTACTTGATGTGGACGTTGCTGTGGCCGACGGTGGCCACATTAAGAACGATGTCCCAGGCTCTTTAACGTGCGCGCAACAGCAGCAGGCTGCGTGCTTTGGTAATGTTGCACAGACATGAGTGGGCAGTGGTGGAAATGAAGCCATGTGCTTGTAGTACTCCGTACGTTCATCAGAGGGTGATGTAACCCAGTACGATATCTTTTTACACGAGTTGTGTGGTTGCACTTTCTCCCAGGGGGTTCTGTGTAAATCGTCAATGGCCACCTCCCTCTTGCTGCCTGCATGCTCTTGTCGCTCTCGAACAGCTTCACTCGTCTTTCGTTCTCCAATTTCTCATCGTTTCCTGATCATTTTGCAGAGTTGTGTGTAGTCAATCCTCAGTTTTGCATCTCTTTATATTTCTCCTCTTCCTCAACATGTTTTCAATTTGCTTTCTAAAATTTGCCTTGCTTTGAATGCCCTGTGCATTGCTGTGCTAGTCAATTCATTGCAGTGGCAACGTCCATCTGGTTGAACCGCTCGGCATTTCAATGCTGCTTCCCTGATCAACAGCATGAAGACCCAACAGAGGGAACCATAAGAATTTATTAACAAATGTTTTTTTTTAATTGAACAACACGGTAATAATCACATTCACAGTAATGACAACCATGTAAACCGCATATAGAGTTTTAGGAAACATATTATACTAGAGTTACACTAGTAGTTCTGTTGCAATGTGAACACATTCATAAGCATGTCCGGTGGTCGCTGTTATGATTATTGCATAGGTATTTGGGATACCAGCTTTGTTTTATTAGACAACAGAAGCTGAAATGAGGCAAAAGAACACTGAAATCCCGCATGACAATTGGATTCCATGCTACGTATGGCAACTTATCGACACGTGTCTTAAAGACCGCTTTGTTCCATAGCTACTGTCACAAACACTTTGAGCAGCTACTCTCGAGCAGCTACTCTCAAGCAGCTACACTCAAGCAGCGACACACCTGCAGTTCATTGGTGTGGTGTTGGTGGATCGCACATGCAACGTGCATGCCTATGAGGTGGAAAGTAGATGATGGTACAGCAAATAATTTGCTGACCTGTGCAGTTTTCTCCTAATGTTATCCTCTTGGCTACGTGGGCCTTTTGCAGATAACCCATTGCTTTCCACGTGAAAAACATTAAGGAACTGGCGAAACATGCTCATGCAGGGCCCACCAGAATGTCTTGAGACTCACCAAGGCTTCCCTGATTGAGGACACTCATAGATTTGTTTTCCCTTGAGAACGCCATTTGTGTTTTAGCAACGCACCGCACACTGGTGGCCGCTCACACGGTGCTGATCTTCTCTTGAGTGCGGGTGATGCAGGCAGCGTTGGCGCCCACCCGGGCTGCCTGGTACACGCCTTGCTTGTGGTCCACCTGTTTGTCGGCCGCCCCCTGCGTCAGGAGCTGGGCCTGACGCTCCCTGCTCCTCTCCAGCTCCTGCCAGTGCTCCTGCGACTTCTGTAGGCACAAGCGCAGCAGTGGCATTGGGCCGGTATATAGCCATGCCCCTACTTCTCAGAGCAGCACTATACACGTAGACCACCACTTTCAGAACGTTTTACACTTGGTCAATATTCGCATTTTTAGGGGCAACAACAGTGAACGTGGTCTGCAGGACGATATAAGTTTTGTACCGGGACTTCTACGGTTCCATTTTGCCCGCTGCATGTCCTCCACTCGCTTCATCTTAACGCGATTAAACGGGCAATACATTTGGTAGCTTTCATCTCTTTGCCTACATAGTCTGTATGAACTTATCTGGCTTTAAATTGTTTAATGTCAATTCACGAGAATAGTTTGAGCCAATAACAAACCGGCCAGGGGGGTGATGGGGGTGCATAGACCCCCACACCGGAAAAAGTTCCCCCAACTGCTGGAGAAAGTTCCTTCTGCTGAGCAACCCTCCCCCCTCACCCCTCCCCCCTCACCCCTCGCCCCTCGCCCCTCCCCCCTCGCCCCTCTCCCCTCGTCGCCGTGACTTGCGAGTCCGCACGCTGCGACGCTGCTCTTGCCGTGGAGCGAGCCGTGAGGGTCACCTTGCTTGCCGGCACCGCGGCGGGCACTCCTGGCCCTTCCCGGCCACTCTGCGTCAACCTCTTCCTCTCGGCGCGACGGTCCTCCAGACGCTGAAGGAGGTCGCTTAGCTTGGGGTCGCCCAGGGCGTCTGGAGGGGAGGCCGCGGGCGCTTGCTGCCTGGCTCGCTTCTCCTCCAGCCTGCACCCAGAGCCAGCGCAGCGGACTTAATGCGCGTTCGCGCCGCGACGTTCGAAATCCAAAACTCGGCACCGTCGCACTCCTGGCTGAAAGTGTTGGTGACGTAAACCCCCTCGTCCATGCCACTAATCTCTCTTATGAACACAGACATCAATTAGTCCCTAGATGTGTTCCCATCTCTACCAGTGAAGTAGGAGAGATCAGTCTTATGCAACTGTGCCTCTGTGTCCTCTCATTTCCACCTTCAACCTCCCCCTAAAGTCACTTGGACAAAAAATAATGAGATATTGTTTATTATACGAGTATATTCGACTAATATTTATTGTTTTAGCTTTCCAAACCTTGGGCCTGATTCGGCAATCAAACAAAACGTGTATGTGGGGAAAGTTACACTGATAGAAACATTTGTGTACAACATTTTGTCCAATAAACACTGCAGGTCACAACATTTCTCCTTTTGCTTCTTCCCTCGCACCGCTCCACTTTGGAATTCCTTTTCCCAAGCCCTTCTCATAACCTTACTCAAGAAGCGTGTTGCATCATAGCTATTACATAATATAGCTACTACAGCTCGGATCATGCTGTTTTTGGTGGCCATATGACTCGCTGGGCATTGGACCTTTGCTCGCCAACTACGTGGATGCCAAACATCCGACGTGTCTCCTCTCACCGGAGAGCGGCCGCCTTGCTGTTGGATGCGCGGTGCAGGGAGATCTTGTCCAGGTGCTGCAGCAGGAGCTGCTCCTTGGCCTGCTTCTCCCTGAGGATGTCGTCACGCCGTTCCTCCTTGGCCTTGTGCTGGGCCTCCTTAAGTAGCGCCAGCCGCTCTCTCAGCTCCACCAGCGACATCTCGCTCAGCAGCGCATGCCCTGCCGTCTGCGGCGGTCACGGAGAGCACAGAAACGGCAGTCGAGACCAGGGAAAGCGGACCACAGTAACAACCACAGTAACTAGCACAGTAACTAGCACAGTAACTAGCACAGTAACTAGCACAGGCTTGGCTATTGTCTCTCGGGACTGTTGATGGTCACGGCTCGGCTCTGGCCCAGCAGTCTCGTAACACTCTGGCTCAGTAGTAGTAGGTTTTTACCCTTTAAACTGGTACAAAAACTGACACCTTTATACCCTCCCACTCTGGCTCAGCTCACGAGCCTCCAGCGACGCCCGAGCGGCACGGCCGTGGCCTGGCTGAGGCGCGGCTTTCGGGAATCCTGGGCGGTGATTGGGACCGTGCTCACAGCCGGTTCAAGTTAAGCGCGTGGCTCTGAGCCATGGCTCACTTGAGCCAGGGCCACACCCGAGATGAGCCTTGACTAAGACCGAGCTACGGTTGGTTATGTGTAGCAAAGGCGGTTGTCCGTGCGACCGTGTTGAACTTGGCCGATCACCTGTGTGGGGTCCATGTGCGGATGGCGCAAGGCGGGCACGGCCTCCAGGGCGCGGATCTGTTGTATGAGCTCTTGCCGACGGCACATGTCCTCCTGGGCACGCTCCAGTGCCTGCCTCAGCATCTCCTGGCTCTCCTCCATCACCTCCTGCACTGCTCACCCCACCACACTCATGGCTCAATCCGCTACCAACACGGCTGCTCAACGGAAAACGCTTTGCTCCCGACCACAGCGCACACGGCGGTGATGCTCAACAACAACAACGCATCATAAGAATAGCCACTTGCAGAACGTGCAACTGTATCCAGCAACACACATTCTCACGCATTCCACTGCAAACACAAACAACAACTTCATGCCTTACTCCAGTAGTTTATAATGGACACGAATATGGCAGACTTCGACTAACTGTTGCACTTTAGTTACTCACACGTGCAGTCAACCACACAAGTGCATGGGATTTTACATTGTGACAGGAAAATCTTAATAATGTACACCTGTGGTGAAGACACGAGCACTGTCCACCACCCCCTCGCTCCAGCCTGACCCCCACAACCTCCCCCTCGCTCCAACCTGACCCCCACCCCCCCCCCCTCGCTCCAGCCTGCCCCCACACCCTCCCCCTCGCTCCAGCCTGACCCCCACACCCTCCCCCTAGCTCCAGCCTGACCCCCACAACCTCCCCCTCGCTCAAGCCTGACCCCCACACCCTCCCCCTCGCTCCAACCTGACCCCCACACCCTCCCCCTCGTTCCAACCTGACCCCCACACCCTCCCCCTCGCTCCAGCCTGACCCCCACACCCTCCCCCGGGCTCCAGCCTGACCCCCACACCCTCCCCCTCGCTCCAGCCTGACCCCCACACCCTCCCCCTAGCTCCAACCTGACCCCCACACCCTCCCCCTCGCTCCAACCTGACCCCCACACCCTCCCCCTCGCTCCAGCCTGACCCCCACACCCTCCCCCTCGCTCCAGCCTGACCCCCACACCCTCCCCCGGGCTCCAGCCTGACCCCCACACCCTCCCCCGGGCTCCAGCCTGACCCCCACACCCTCCCCCTCGCTCCAGCCTGACCCCCACACCCTCCCCCTCGCTCCAACCTGACCCCCACACCCTCCCCCGGGCTCCAACCTGACCCCCACACCCTCCCCCTCGCTCCAGCCTGACCCCCACACCCTCCCCCTAGCTCCAACCTGACCCCCACACCCTCCCCCTCGCTCCAACCTGACCCCCACACCCTCCCCCTCGCTCCAACCTGACCCCCACACCCTCCCCCTCGCTCCAGCCTGACCCCCACACCCTCCCCCTCGCTCCAGCCTGACCCCCACACCCTCCCCCTCGCTCCAACCTGACCCCCACACCCTCCCCCTCGCTCCAGCCTGACCCCCACACCCTCCCCCTCGCTCCAGCCTGACCCCCACACCCTCCCCCTCACTCCAACCTGACCCCCACACCCTCCCCCTCGCTCCAACCTGACCCCCACACCCTCCCCCTCGCTCCAACCTGACCCCCACACCCTCCCCCTCGCTCCAGCCTGACCCCCACACCCTCCCCCTCGCTCCAACCTGACCCCCACACCCTCCCCCTCGCTCCAACCTGACCCCCACACCCTCCCCCAGGCTCCACCCCTTTAGCTCTCCATCTTTCTCTCCACCACAGCCCCATTCCCTCGTCCTGATCGCAATGCTTCTGGGAAATTATAAAACTGCTGTTAATTTTACAACTTAAAAAATACCTAAAAACTCTATATCCGTGCAAAGTTGCATCATTTCACGTATTTACCCACAATGATGGCTTTACCAAGTTTTCTGCAGTTGGATAAAAGGTAAAAAAAATAGCCCTGAATGAGTGCCAATGTTCCTTAAATCATACAAGGCAGCAAAACAACTAACATCCTGTGTATGGTCGTGTAATATAGAGAATGCATTACAGAAATTACACTCTGTAAATGATGAAAAACCTCACCACAAAAGAAGCAATCATGCAGGCTGGAAACCACTCCTTGCATCCACTATATATATATATATGCAAGGAGTTGGTGGTTTGGATAAGGCTGAGCATTGTACATGCAATGCACACGCTTGTTGTTAAACCTATGAACCACATTACAGCACACATCTCCACTGCACTGCAAACATCAGGGGCGTTGAGAAGAATAACCAATTCACTGCACATCACAACATTACATTCAAACTCACTTGAGCATCAATTCACTGCAAACCATATGCACACAAACCTGATCAGCGCAGTGTGTTGACAAAGCACACCGCAGCTTCCACAGCACTCGCAAGTGCGGACATTGCAAACCTGGAGTCCCTGACACCTGAGCAGTATGCGGCAACATTACAGTTGAATCAAACCTTGGTGACATGTTACTTAAAACACACCCATTGCTCAATAGAGCAATGGGGCAGTGGTTATCATTGCCAGCCCTGAGTACGTGGTGTAAATTCCACATTCCCATGGCAGGGCTCTGCATAAGACGATCACTCCTTCTCACAAAGAGGTATTCATTTGATCAACCCTGGAGGGATCAAGGACTGAGTTGACCCCTGACTGGGATTTAATTTTTATCTACATTATTGTGAATCAGCTCTACCCACAGCATGCTGGCTCAATTATTACACCACTCCTGACAGCAGTTGCAGCTGAAATATATTGTTCTAAATAAGAATATAATTGATATTGATTTATTTATGGGATCAAATTAATACATGCTAAAGATCTGCTTATTTGTTAACAAGACTATATACAACAGGCATAAGTAAAATGTTTCCCTGTTCCATGTGCTCCTCTTTCTGCCACCGCCCAGAGGTTCCTGGAGGCGTGGGGCAGGAGGCCACGTGGGGCCCCTGAGGCAGCCATCCACAGGGCTGTCGCGGGGCCCTCTTTTGTGACAGCTTAATAGTGCAGTGCTAACCGCAAGGCCACCACTCCTCCCAAATGTAAATGATGTAAAACTTTTCAAACGAGCAGAAGCAACAGTGATTTTAGGAAGTAAAAACAGTGATATGGTGATTCTTACCTATTTTCTGTTTGTATTCTTGAAGTTTCAGTTTAGCTGCTTTGGAATTCTCATGACCCTCCATGATTTGCTTAATCAGTTTCTTCATCTCCTTCTCCTCTTGAAGCCGCCGGTCTGCGTACTGCTGCATCATCTCAGCTGTCTGTGGGACACGCAGCAACGTCCACAGACACACCACGGGCTACGTGAGACGCGCACACAGACTGCGGCACACCGCACAGGCGGTGGACCAGCGGCAGTGCGGTCGCCGCTTGTTGCAGAGGTTTGCGGTTTAAATCCGGCAGGCCGCCCTGGTTATAACTGCGGTTTTGTATTAACCGTAAAGTACTACTCGCTGTCTACTTCACATTGCACGTTAAAGATCCCCTGGCGCCATTTGCAATGAGAAGGCCATTGTATGTCAGCATCACGGTCCAAATTTGAAAAATTACTCTGCAACATTACTCAATTGGGATTACAGAAACATTTTTCCCTACTTGAAGACTATATTCATCAAGTCCCAATCAATATAAAAATAGACAAAGCACCTCCATCCTTTTGTCACAAAAGGTGTGCCACATTCTTTGTAATCTTTTAAACAACAAAATCGGTGGAAAATAGCATAATTTGTTTATATTTTCTCATACATGTTGGCAATAGCTGCCTTCCCTCCCACACGTAAACTGGGCCCCAAACCCTGCCCCAGCTCTGCTGCTGCTGCTGCCACCTGCTGCTTGACGGTGGCGGCTTTGTGCTGGTTCTGGCTGGCGAGGGCATGCCGTGCCAGCACGGCCTCCTCCAGGCTCAGCTTCCCCTCCAGCCGACGCCGCTCCTCCTCCAGCGCTGCCTCCGACGCGTCGCGCTGCCGCATGCGCTCCTGCCAATCAGCAAATTCGCTCCCGTCCCGCGCGCCCCTAACCAGCTCCTCTAGCCTGGGCACATTAGAGAGAGAAACAAAATGGACCGATATTTCACAGAGTAGCTTCATCCAAGGTGCAATGCTCTTTTCTGCGAGGACATCCTTCTAAACAAGAGATGTCCCAATCATGCACATCGTTAATGAGCAGCAGCTAGGGTGTGGGAGTGCGTGCGCGAGTGCATATGTGTGCGTAAAAGTGTCTGTGCACGTGTGTGTGCGTGTGCACACACACATGGCAAAACAACCCCCTACCTCCTCGTTGGTGCCGGATGGAAACGCTGTGGTGGGCAGTCTCCTGGCCAAACTACATTTGGCAGAGGCAGGAGATTGAATCCTCACCCTCGGGGTTCCTCCAGAAACAACAAAAACCACTGCGGGTGGCCACGTGGAATGTTCGAACGTTCACTGCGGAGAAGAGGCTGCCACTCCTCTGTCGGAAGCTGGACCGGTACCGCCTGGATCTCTGTAGTGTTCAGGAGGTCCGGTGGACCGGCTCTGGCTCCTGCCACCTTGAGGGGTGGACAGTCCTCTACTCGGGGCAGGAGACTGCCAAACAACAGGGAGTGGCTCTTCTTCTGAACAAAACAATGAAGGGGGAATGGGAGCGTGGCGGTGAGGTTTGCGAAGCTGTAAGCCCCATGCTACTTTGGGCTCGCCTTCCCATCAACTAGATGCGAGGAGTGGTGGTCGTGGTTACACATGCCCCCACCAAAGACGAACATCCATGGAGGGATGCAGGTAAGGCTGATGAGTCAGATGCCTTCTATGACCTCCTGTCACAGGTGCTAGCTAAAGTGGCCCCTCGGGATAGTCATCCTGTTAGGCGACTTTAATGCCCGAGTTGGTCATGATGCTGGCACCTGGTCTGGAGTGATTGGACGGCATGGGCCAGATCAGCTCAATAACAGTGGTAGAGGCTGCTAGATTTTTGTGCAGCCCATGGGCTTGTAATTACCAACACGCTGTTCCGGGATTGGCGCATCCACACAACATCATGGATGCATGCCGGATCCAAGAAAGAACATCTGCGAGGTTTAGGACTTTGGCTCATGCAGCTGCAATGGCTGCTTTGGGTACATGATCCAGACCTCCCCAGAGACCCTGGTTGACAGAGGAGGTGTTCAGGCTGGCTGAGAAAAAGCAACAGGCCCACTCTCATCGTCCACAGCTACTACTTAGTGGCGAATGGCGGTTGTTGTTGCATGTGTATGCGTGCGTGTGGGTGTGCATGTCTTTGTGCGTGCGTGGAAACCGACCTTTTGAGCTCCTGTGTCTCTCGGGCCTGGTAGAAAGCTCCCTCTCGCAGTATGGCCGTTGTGTTGAGCTTAATAGGAACGTTGTTCTTCTACAATAAAAACAACGCTCGTATCACAGTCCTGTAAACGATATGCAGCTTCGCATTGTCACGATGCTACTTTAGCAAGTAGTCCTGCCAAAGGGAATATATTTTATTAATTACACTTGGCAAATGCACTCACGTTAGGTTTCCTGTATCGTGTGTTTAAGATAAACTGGTTGTTGGCATTGACCAATGGAAGATTATTAATTACTTTTACTGTATTGTCAAAATAAAACAATCCGATCACGTGGGACAGCATCCGTAAATGTCCTGGAACTTGCGATATCCATCCATCCCTCTCTGGCCCATGGTACACGCATCCAGAGGGACGCCTCGCTCATCATCCAGATGACGGTCATATCTCTTATTGCTGCCATAATGATTGTATCTATCTAATGTGATCTCCATTTTAATATTATGCATTAAAGGCTCTGTGGGTATAAAAACAAAAAGAACACCTCGTATAAATGTTTTACTTGTTTTGTTTAACGTGTAGTCACTCAACCCCACCACCTCCGTGAGCACTTCACTACGGACGGCAGATTGGCAGAGCTGAGGTCACAAACCGTGCAAAAATGTACAGATGGAGGCAGAGAACGCTTCTCTCTCTCTTGGCTTTGGTTGAGCCCTTGGATGGAGCGGCGGTGCTTACCGAGGTCTTTGGCACGCTCCTGGCCCGGGGCCTCTCTGCACTCGTCCTCGACATCTCTGCAGCGAGCTCCGCCATGACGCGCTGAGCACATCCAACGGGAGAGGTGGTGGATGGTTCGGCCACACAACTGATGTGCGTAACGGATACTGAATTGACACGTTTTGTGAATAAAAAATGATGCTGGGGAAGCGGGCGGCACAATGCGCCGAGCTAAAGCGCGCAAGCTGCAGGTCACCGCTACCACTGCTGCTGAGCAGGAAAAACTGAAAATCTGCCTTCCACAAGAACGTGCCGAGTAGCAAGTGTGTGCGGGCACGCTCGCAAAAAATGCCCAACATTACTTTCAGCACGTTACGTGAATCGGCATAACTAATCGTATAATACGACATAGTGTTGTACAAATGTCCACAAGACCCAATTCCGTCGAAAACAAAAAAGCGTCGTGCTCAAGGTTCACAAATATAAAAAGAGAAACTCTGTATCAAAGTCACTGGAATCAGTCACTCTGCATGTGGACGTGTATAGCATCAACTGTACACTGGCCTTGAGAGTGAAACTAACCAATAACACGTGTGTGTAATCTCGCACAGTGAAATATGTAAGCATTGGTAAACACCGGTCAGATTTCTCCCTCAATGTGAGGTCCACTCCTTCCTCTGTACCTCTCTACTTCCCGCACCTCCCATGAGCACGATTGGCTACGACAGTGCGAAAGAAGTTCAACACACATACGTACTCCCCATACCCTCCCCACTCCGTTCCTCTCCATGTCACTCCCACACACCCTCGGCATACCCCCCCCCCCCCCCCCCCCCGTGTCATCCTCACCTTGGTTTGATCCGCCTTCTCGGCGTTTGCGCACTGGAACAGCATCTTGCTCGCTTCCATCAGATTTCTCTGTAACAGCACGAGCGGTGACATGCTTATTTTCTTATATTTAGAAATGTGCCTGTTCTAACAAGTCGTTCTGGTGTACTGTGCCCACGTGATCGTGTTAAGTTTTTACTTTGAAACGATTACAGCTGCTGAACCATTGCAATTTAACTGTTGCTACGTAACTCTGGGTGCTCGCATTCATGACTTACGAGACACGAATTACATTATCACGAAGCTATCACAAAGCATATCTTTATATTTTCGGTATGACTCTTTTTTTTGTTCAGAGGGTCCTGCCAAGTTGTGTGAGTAGGGGGCGATGCTGCTGCCGTGTGTAATCCCAACTGAGTAGTTTGTAGGTCTTATTTCAGCATTGAGATGTTTGGCCAATGCCAGCTGCACGGTGTGTGTGTTTGGCTTTAGATGACTCGTGTGCCAAGTACGTGCAGTTGTGCTAAGCAAGAGTGGGTTGTGTTCCAGAGTTAGGGAACCTCAGCTCTTCGCCGGTTCCTCTGCCTGACGTCCTGAAGCTTTGCCATTTCTTTCGGGAGATGGTACGTGCTCTTGGGCACCTGCACACACACAAACAATCAACTGTACAACCACAGCACTCCCTGCCAAGCTTGCAACAGCTCTGCCTGGGGTCGGGCGTCAAACACCAAGCTTGTTGACGTGCAGTTACATTCGACAAAGCGCATCATCGTCTCAGGAATCCCCTTCATCCAGCAGTGGAATGGCAAAAGCCTGGCGATCATCATGGCCAGCATTAAACAATTGTGGCCATGCATCGCAGACTCCATATTACATGTGACATAACACATTTTTAAACGATGAATAGTGTTTAACCAAATAAAAAACATTTCTAAACAGGCAGTTAAATGATACGGAGCATGGTGTATTTCTGATCACGCCAGCGAGTAACATTGATGGTGGTGGCACGGCGAGGGAGGGGAGACGTACGGGGTTGGGTTTGCCGAGGGAGGGGACGCGATCCGGCAGAGGCAGAGTCCGTGGCTTGGGCTTGGTCAGCGAGAACTCCTGCGGCTCCGTGGTCTTGGGCTTCGGCCGCGGGGGACTCGTGCCGTCCAGTTGGCTTCTCAACTGCTCCGTCAGCCAAAGCACTTCCTCTCTGTTTCTGAAAGCGACAAAGAGAACTTCTTACGCAGCTGTGTCTGCCGAAGGGGCGATTAACATGCTGTAAGGAAATAGCAAAGACTCAATAATTCTTCGATACTCTTATCTCGGATCAGCTGACTTGGGTTGTTCGGTCAATTGCATTGTACATCGTTTACATGTGGAGCACTAAAGTGCCTGAAGCGAAGTGACACATTAAAGAAGATGGAGAGACAGCTAGGAAACCTTGCTGAATCGCCACCAGACACCTCTCTTGCAAAGAATACAATGACTTCACTGAATGAACTTAACATAACTTCATCTATTCATATTTCCATGCAGCGTGAAACTAAACCAGCAGAGGCATTGTTAGTTACGTGGAGCTGGTTGACACTGCCACTGCCCTGCCTACACAGAGGCACGTGCAAGTGGAGGCGGTGCCAATCCCACGTAAAAATCCTTTGATATAAAACAGCACGAGTAGTTTTAAATGGCGTTACATGGCTTAATTGTGGCCCTAAACCATGCGCTTGGCCCAAGTGTTCATAAACGTACTTGAGTAGTGGCGCCAGCAGGTTATTTTGCACGAAGGTGATGTCATACAGCTGACTCCACTCATCCTTTATCCAGGTGCTTAAGTTGACTTCGTCAAACAGGAAAGTCAAGAACTGCAAGGAAAAACCGTCCCCGCGTGTGTCATTAGTTCAGTGATCATACAAACTCACGCTGAGAAAGCACTGCAGCATCATAGGCAACGGCAGACGAAGCTTGTGGGCAAAGGGACCACGTTGTAGCATTGTCCAGGCAGGGTAATTACCAAACTGACTTCTTCCCTGTTTTGTTTGGTCGAGTGGCTACCCCCGCTCACAACAGCAGGACCCCGCTGGTGGTCACAGCAGTAGGTCTGACGGAAGGCAGACTAGAAGGAGCAGAGGTTTGGAAAGGAGGTAATGTGGGCCCTCAGCTGGGTGAGGGTGGGGCATTCGAGGAGCCTGGAGAGGGTGGAGAGATTGGTTGTGGGTTGATAGCATGCTGGGATGTCTGGATTGAGGCCAGGTTTCTTGAGAAGCAGGGTGACTTGATCAGTTTTGTAGGAATTTTGGAAACGCAAAAATGTGAAAGAAGCATTAGTGACATTGGTGGTCATGACGGTGAGTGCTGTGGTGCAGTGTGAACAAGGAACCGGGGAGGTGTCCAGAGGAGATGACTTCATGTGGCGTTCTTGGATTACACCAAGTAACTCTTCATGCCATCGATTGGAATAACAAACTCAACACAGGAGGTACAATGTTTTGTCAGTTGCTTTTCAAATGGCATATGAAAGAAAGATAGACAATCAATAATAAATAATCTGAAACATTGAAAAAATGACAGCAGCTGTGGCAATATGGAGAACACATTGTGACCTGCACGCATTGTCACCTTATGCATGCTGGGTATGTCTTGGGAGTTGATGATCTTGGTGAAACTGGTCATCCCCAGCTCTTCCAGGCGAAACACAGCCAGGTAGGCGATGACTGTGAGCGGACGTGACAGTGGTGGAAATTTTATCTCAGCACGAAGCCACACCACCGATACAGCACTCTATTTAACTACTAATTTCAATAAATACTCTTTTAAATAATGGACATCAAACGTAGGCACGGGGCAGATCTGAATGTGGACAATAATCATGGCTATCTCACCCCTCGTGTGAGTGGCGCAATTAACCTACTAAAGGCTCCTCTGCCTCCGGTAATGGGTATCGCCTTGTTCATACGAACCACTTGAAACCAGACTGTGTTGGTCCAAGAATGGCCTGCGTGGGGTCCAACTCCACCCCAGAGATCTTGGTCCCACACCAAGTATCCAAATGAGGCTTCGTCGGATCCTGCTTTGATCCTCCATTACTTCTCTCTATCTGCATCCTCCCTCCTCACACCCCCACCCCCTCCTCTCCCACTACTCTGTCTACACCTCTAAGCTCCCTCTCTCTATCCCCTCTGGCTTAGTGATCGAGCCCAGCAGAGCTCACCTTAATTTTTCCCGCGTTGTGCTCTGAGATACCATTTCACTATAAATGCTTAACAAACACAAATCATTACCCTTATAAATTACTCCCACAAGATGTTCTGAAATTGACGTTTATGTCCTGTGTCATTGGATGGAAAAAAGGGAAACTGGAGGTGAAATGGCAGCTGAAGAAAAAGGAATTGAATGATGAATGACTACAAAGTGAGAGACGTTGCTGCAATGGAAACACAGGTGTAATGGGATGTGCACTACAGCTGACACACCATTATGCCGTAGTGACGGCAAGGGCCTCGTCGTGAGAGGCTTGCAAGGTTCTTGAATGCGGCGATAACAACAAGTGATATGACGATGGTGAATGCCCAAGGGTCCTTGTTATGAGCCCTGAAGAGATTTAAATAACTTTTTTAAAGTGCTGTTTTGAGTGGCTTTAACGTGGTGGAAGCGGGATAATTGTTTAGTGGAATGTGCAGGGCACTGTGAGACGCACCTGTAAAGACGTTTCGCTGCTTGAGCAGAACGTGCTTGCCGTGGCGAGCGTAGAAGGCGTTGACCACGACCGCGAGCAGTCGCCTCTGTTCCACGCAGCCTCCCAGCACTCCCAGGAGGAACACCAAGTTATCTTCACTCCAGCCCTCCACAGCACGTCGCGAGATATTGGCGGTGTTAGAATGTTCCAATTTTGTGGTTTATGGAGAGATAAACATACACATTCATTCAAATTGAGTCTGCTGCTGGGTGAAGGCCTCCCCAAGCAGCTGGCGGTACAAAGAGGTTCCGTGTTTTTTGTTAAAACATCACCTTGCTCAAACATGACTGCACCTACAGAGCATGTACAAACTTCCCAAGGTTTTTAAATAGGTCCCTACAGTTGTATAACAAAAACACAATCAATGCGTTTCCTCTTGCAAGTATAAATAGGAGCTGTCGGGCGTCGAGGGGATCCGCCACTGCGCTGCACGTACCTGGCGCGACTGAATGATGTCGTCTGTGATCTGCATGAGGTTCTCTTCCCCTGCTGTGATCTTATCCAGCAGGGCGACCACCTCCCCAATCAGCTCCCCGTAGTTTCCCATTGCTCCTGAGACACACACAGCGCCACGTAGCCATCGTTTTAAACACCATCTCAATAAGTCGTCTATGTCACCATGGGCACGACCCGCACCTCCGATTCGCGCCGTTGGCTACGTACGGTGCGAAAGAAGCTCAACATTATACAAACAATGACACCCCCTGCCCTCTTTCTCGGGAGCCCGCGGGGCAGGCGACACGCGCAGGAGGAGGAGGAGGAGTTCCCTCGCCTGCCGCCCACAACACAGCCGCTGTCGGGCATCGCCTGCGACAGCGCCAGCCGCGTTCTCTCTCAAAGCCTCGCGACGCGCAGCAAACTCGGAGTTCAAACCAACTCGGCTCGCCGCGAGGCGAGTTTCTCGTCACTCCGTCGCAAGCGCAGCAGGTCCCGCAGCAGCGGCGATCGCGGTCACGGGGACACGGAGACGACGCGGCAGCGGCGCTGTTTGTTGGCGTCGCCCTGAGCGGCAACTCCTTCAAGACTCGAGCGCGGCCTTTTCGACCGGCACGGCGAGACCCCCGCGCCGCGGGTCCATCCGCACGGGGACTCGCGCGCACTGCGACAAAACACCCCGCGGCCCGCCGTGGCGGTTGTTGTTGTTGTTGTTGCACCGTGCGGGCGTGGGTTCCCTGTAGAACCCAGTGGGGATTCCGAGCCAGAGGGCTTCCTAGGAAGCACTGCCCCCACCACCACAGCACCACGCGGGGCGGGTTGTGATGCAGCAACCTGCGCGAGCGCCCCCGGAGTGGCGGTGTCCGGATGCGCTACCGCGGATTTACCTGCTCCAGCTGTGGGGGTGGGGGGGGATGCAAGCTTCGTCATTGTCTGCACCTCGCCAGGCGAGGCTTGGCCACGCGTGCCACTGAACGAAGCGGCGCCGACTACGCGCCCCCCCCCCCCCCACGGGGACGTCTCCCGCTCCACGCGGGGATCTCCCCTCGCCCCCCCCCCCCCAAACACCGCTCACGATGCCTGCGCGACACCGCCCGGTCCGTCAACTCCGCTGCGAAACGCGGCCACAGATCAACAACGTCAACAACACGTCAACAACACATCAACAACGCGTCAACAGATCAACAAACCCGCTCGTAAACAACGCGGGCGTCTCCTGCTGCTCCCTCACCGCGCCGTCTCCTGGCAACAACCACGGCGCGCCGCGAGATCTCGCCGCTGTCTTCTCGCGAGATCTCACGCCCCTCTTCTCGCGAGATCTCACGCCTCTCTTCTCGCGAGATCTCACGCCTCTCTCCTCGCGAGATCTCACGCCTCTCTTCTCGCGAGATCTCACGCCTCTCTTCTCGCAAGATCTCACGCCTCTCTTCTCGCGAGATCTCACCCCTCTCTTTCTTCTCGCGAGATCTCACGCCCTCTCTTCTTGCGGATGCTCACGCCTCTCCTCGCAATCTCGCGAGATTTCCCCTCCACGCGAGATCTCATCCCCCCTGCCCGCGAGATCTCCCTTCTCGCGAGATCTGTCCCCCGCGAGCCCCGCCCCTGCCTCCCATGACCCCCGACCCCTGACCTCTCGTGCACTGTCATGGCGGCTCGCTAGCGGTGCGCACGTGCGGATTGGAGAGCGGAGCGAGGAGCCAGCGGCGACTTGCCTCCACGCGGAGACCCTCTCGAGTCGTCGCGGCTCCACACAGACACCCCCCCCGCTCGAGTCGGTGAGGCGCCAAAGCTCTACACACAGAGACGCGACTCGGAGAGACTCTACCCCGAGACCCCACTCGAGTCGGTGAGACGCGCACTCAGCCATAGACTGAGTAAGGAGGGGTGGAGTGTGAGTGAGTGAGAGGTGGAGTGTGAGTGAGGGGGGGTGGAGTGTGAGTGAGTGAGTGAGGTAGGAGAGGTACATCACTCACCTTCCACTGTATGTATGTTGAACTTACTCTGCACCGTATGGAGCCGACCGTGCTCATCGAGGGTGGTGTCTGCAGCGCTGAGCCGGCGCCATGGGGAAGGCCAAGCCCAAGCGGAACTTGGCAGACAAGGTCCGGCGCACGAAGAAGACGGTCGACGTGCGAGCCAACCCGTTCGAGGTGAAGATCAACCGGCAGAAGTTCTCCGTCATTGGGCGCAAGCCGAAGCACGACCGCGGCCTCCCCGGCGTGTCCCGCTCCAAATCCATAAAGAAGGTAAGGCATGTGTGGAACACGGAGAGAGTGGCCGGCTCGCCGCTCTCATTGCTTGGAAATGCGAGGGTCCATCTCTCACAGGGGCGGCGGGTTGGCACGGTGGTACGGTGGTAACACTCGCGCCTCAGCAAGATTCAAGCGCCCTTCCACGTGGAGTTTGTTTTCCTCTTTGTTTGCTCCGGGTTCTCTGGTTTCCTCCCGTGGCTAATTTAACAAACAACATCCCAATACTGAAACATTACCCGCTAGTCACTCAAGTGAGATTATACAGAGTTGCGAATAATAAGACCACGAACGAGAGGAGTGTCGCGTTTGCTTAAATCGTAAACGACGGTTCGTGCCGGCGTGATGGGGCGCCGGGAGGGTAGCGTGGGTAGTGCTCGCGGAGTTTTCACATTGCCCCTCTCGTGCAGCGCATGGGGACGCTGCTGCAGGAGCACAAGCAGAAGAACAAGAGCAACGTGTTCGTGGACCGGCGCATCGGAGAGAATGACGCGTCCATCAGCCTCGAGGACAAGATGTTGCAGCGCTTCGCCAAGGAGCGGCAGGTGTGACGCACACACTGCCCAGTGTGTGTTTGTGCGCGTGTGGGGAGCGGTGGTGTAGCGGTTAGCGCGCTGCACTACGAACCCGTGACCCGAGTTTCGATTCCCGCTCATGGGCAACATCAGTGACAATTATCTGAACTGGTACCAGGTGCAGTGTGTAAACATCACCACTGGGAAGACAAAGGCGGTCGGGCGTGGTGCTGGCCACCCACCCCCTCGTGTACCGTTCTGGCCTTCATAGCTGCTACTCGCTAACAGCACTTGCCCCAACAGTCTGTTAAGGCTATACAGGGATCTTTGTTTTTTTTGTATATAGTGTGTGTGTGTCTATTGTCTTATGTGTGTCTAGTGCATGTGCTTAGTATTATGGTCTAGTGTATCTTTCTGTGTGTATGTCTACTGTGTCTGTGTCGTCGATGTGGGAGACCTGTGCCGTGTAGAGACCCCCACAGTACAGCCGGGGGAAGCCCAAAGCTGTGAACGAGCCATCTGTCGGTGTTATTGAGGTGCGAGACGTGAGCGTGTGAGCCGTGCGTTCCCTCCACAGCGCCAGCACACACGAGAGAACGTGTTTGCGCTGCACGAGGCGGATGATGAGGAGCAGCTCACGCACTACGGGCAGTCTCTGGCGGACGTGCAGGCGCTCGGGGACGCCCCCCGACAGCGACAGCGACACGGGCGACCGCGGCCTCCTGTCAGGTCCGGCACGGCACCACACTCGGTTATCACGCACCCCTCACGCAACCCCTCAACACACACCGCAACACACACCGCAACACACACCTCAACACACACCTGGCTGTGTTGGTGCCTGTGTTCTTACCGTGTGTCGACGTGGCTGTGTTGGTGTCGTTGTGGCTGCACAGCGGAATTCACGGAGGCGCACTTTGGCGGCGGAGGGGGCCTGCTGCGGAGGAAGAAGGCTGCTGCTGCTGCTGCTCCGGTTGGGGAGGGCGAGGACGGTGGGGGCGGGGCGGCTGCCGAGTGCCGCACCCGCTCCCGCAAGGAGCTCATCGAGGAGCTCATCACCAAGTCCAAGAAGGAGAAGGTGCAGCTCGCTCGCCCACCCGCTGGTGTCTCGTTTACACACATGCTCGGCCAATGCGATGAGCTATCATACGTGGCCAGGTCACTTCTGAGAAAGAGCTCAGAGCTCAGTTTGTTTTACCTGGTTTCCTAATATAGTTTCTCTATTCAACTGTATTTAACGAAGTAATGACTAAGCCGTGGCTTGACTACCCAGTGATTTCACTCGGCAGTAACTTTACGAGGCAGTGGCCTGACTCGGCAGTAATTTGGTAAAAGCCACTTTCACTTTGGCAAGGAAGCCGTGTGCTCTTGCTGGAGCGTGGTAGGCGTGGTTGTTTATGCTGCTCAGTAGAAGCACGAGTGTGCATGGAGAGTGTGCTCCTACGTGTTCCAGCGTCACACCCATTACCGTCTTCGAGGGAAAGAACGGTGATCTGATCTCCGACCCCCAGCAACAGGTTTGTAGGTTGGCTGAGCATTTCTGTGAGGTCCGAGGGGAGGGGAGCCCTCAGCCTCAAATAACACGATAGAGTAAAAGGGAGGGTTGACTCTGCTGGGTCTTTGATTAGGATCCACAATGATGCAAGTGGCAGAATTTGGGGTGTGGACTGTTGGGTTTGTGCATACGTGCTTGCGTGTGCGTGCAAGTATATGCGCATTCACGTGTGTATGCATGCATGTGTGTGTGTGCCGCATGTGTGTGTGTGCACGCATGTGTGTGTGTGTACGCTGTGTGTGTGTGTACGTGTGTCCACAGTTTGAGAGACAGAACGCCCAGGGAGCAGACGCTGGAGCTCACCGAGAAGCTCGATGCCGATTGGAAGCTGATCCAGTCGCTGCTGCCACACAAATCGCCCAAGGCCCTGCGTGCCGAGGCTGAGGACGATGCACCGCGGGTGAGCGGTAGGCGGAGCCGGTGGACTTGTGCAGGAGATCGCTCCTTCCCACCTCTCGCAACCTCACCCTCAACAACTCCCTCTCGAATCACCCACCATGGGATAACTCTCATGGTGAAAACAGCCCACAGTCCCGTTGATGTTCTACGCCGGTAATGGCTGTTAAGCGTAGGAGTGCGCACCGAGGATTTTGTTGTGGGGGAGGTTTCAATAATTAAATCGCAGAGACTGTCACACTCTTGTCGAGGGCTATGTTAGGCCGGGGTCCCTGCCTTGTGATGCGACTCTTGAGTGCCTTCCCGCTGCTGCTGCCCCCCTTCCCCCCCCCCCCCCATGTACAGATGGAGGCCTACGACGTGGCGGGTGGGGAGCTTGCCTTTGAGATAAAGCGCAACCGAGCGAGCGCCTCAAAGACGGCGGAGGAGATGGCGCGCGAGGAGGCCCAGCGACTGCAGCACCTAGAGGTGCGCAACCCTGGCTCACGGCTCGACACTTGTGACTCGCCACTCAGGCCCTCACCACTCAGCACTCACGCTCAGCACTCACGGCTCACCGCTCACATGATCACCACTGACGCTGCACCGCGGCTCACTGCTGCTGAGCTGACGACTCACGGCTTACCGCTCAGAATCCCGCTCACAGCTCACCTGCCCTATCCGCTGCTGCTGCGTGCAGGCGGCGAGGCTGCGGAGGATGCGCGGGGCCTTTGAGGAGAAGGGGCAGAGCGAGAGGCCCAAGCACCTGTCGGCCGACGACCTCCACGACGGCTTCGATGTGGACGACGAGCCCACGGCGCCGGCACTCGCCTACGAGGTGCAGGCTCGCACGGGGCCCACCGGGGATCTAGGGCCACCCCCACCCTCTCACAGCACAGGGCCCGCTGGGGGTCACGGGTCAGGGCCCACCCTCTCACAGCACGGGACCCACTTGGGGTAGCTCAGCCTCGTAGCATCGCCGTGCGATTGACGACGTGCGGCTCCTTCCTTCGTTCCCCGGGGAGGTTAACGAGACCGTCCTGCTGGGTGGGTGGCCGTGCATGCTCTGTGGGCGCCATGTCACCTCGGCAATGCTTAGAAGTAGTTGCCTGTTAATATGACGGTCTTCATTGCCTGAGCTGCTTAACAGTCGTTGTTTAGTGATTGGTATGCAGAAATAAACTTGAGTGGCTGAAAACCCCCATATGTATACGAGGCAATCGCACTGAGCGCTCCACACGGATAGATTCAATGATTGCATTGATTTACGTCATTATCCGGTCGCCTCCCAACCATGGCCTGCAACTCGAGCCCCGGTATGCCGGGCACCAGGCAAGGCATCGTGTTCTCCTGGGGGACAATGAAGATGATAGCGATGATGATGATGATGATGATTGTGCTGAGGATAGCGATGGTGCTGATGATGGTGCTGATGATAGTGCTGAGTGCTCCGGGTTTGGCCGTTGCGGTGTAGGACGGCAAGCTGAAGACAGTGACCTGGGCCGACGAGGCGACCGCAGCCCACGGGGACAGCGATGAGGAAGACGACCGCGGTGAAGAGAAGGGGAGGAGGATGAAGAGGAGGAGGATGATGATGCTGATGATGATAGCGATGGTGATGATGACCACTCGGATCTGGAGTCGGATGAACAGGCTG